TTCCTGACTGCTAGTATTAAGAGTGTTGACTGTGGAACTGAGCAAGCTGAAAATAACAGTATCAATTTCCTCTCCATTTATCATGATGCTGCCAATTGGCCCCGTGCTGAGAATCTTTGTTTTCTTGACGTTGTGCTTCAATCCATATTGCAAACTACAGTCCTTGACCATCTGCAGCAGATGCTGCTGGTCCTCTTCAAATTCAGCAGGTAAGGCTGTGCCATCTGTATAACAGTTTGTTGATCCTTCCACCAATCCTGATGTTACATTCTTCCTCATAAAACTGAGGTTCTCGTATGATCTGTTCTGCATATAGATTAAAAAGTATGGTGATAGGATACATCCCTGACACAGTCCTTTTCTGATTTTGAACCATGCAACATTTCCTTGCTCTGTTCTGATGACTGCCTGCTGGTCCAAGTATAGGTTTCACATGAGAACAATTAAGTGTTCTGAGATTCCCATTCCTCTCAAGTTTAGCCACACTTTGTTGTGATCCACACAGTCAAATGCTTTTGCATAGTCAATGAAACACAGATAGACATTCCTCTCGTAATCTCTGTGGCAGAGATCAATCTGACATTAGGAATTATGTCCCTCGTGCCACAGCCTTTTCTTAACCCAGTTTGCATTTTTAATTGATGTATTTTTCTGCTGATTTACTGCTACAGTTGCTTTGGGATAATCTTCAGCAGGGTTTTGCTTGTGTGTGATATTAGCGATATCCTTTAATAATTCCCACACTCTCTTGGATAACTGCTTTTTGGGAATAAATATGGATCTCTTCCAGTTAGTTGGCCAGGTAGTTGTCCTCCAGATTTCTTGGCACAGCCTGGTAAACATTTCCCAGGCTGCATCTGTTTGTTGAAATATGTCAATTGGTATTCCATCAATCTCGGGCTTTGTTCTTTGCTAACTCCTTCATTACCATTGCCTCTTGAACATAAGCTGATTCACTAAATACTTTAGTATCAGCCAATTCTTTTGTTACAGCGACTCACTGTACTTCTTCCATCTTCTTTTGATGAATCCTGGATCATTCATCATTCTGCCCACAGTACCCTTATGGATTGCCACTTCAGGCATGAATTCGTTCTTTAGTTCGTTTTGCTAAAGAAATGCTGAGTTGAGTATGACCCTTTTGATTTTCTAAATCTAGATCCTTGCACATTTCATTATAATAGTTTGCTTTGTCTTTCTACATTGCACTTTGAAATCTTTTGTTCAGCTCCTTAATTCTTCCCTTTGCTTGGGCTTCTCAACATTCTAGTGCAACATTCAGAATCTATTCTGACATCCAACTCGGTCTATTTTCTTCCTCTGTCCTTGTAATGAACTTCTGCATCATTCATGGATAATATTGTTGATATTATGATTTCTACCAACTTTTGCAGTCAGAAATAGATTGAACATGCAACGAGGATAAACTAATAATAATGGGTAAAGTTGGGAATAGAGAAGGTTGGCTAGTCAGAAAACACAGGCCTTGGTGCAACCACTGTGGAAGGCAGTATGGCACTTTCTCAAAAAGTTGCAAATAGAAATACCATCTGACCTGGCAATTCCACTACTGGGAATATACCCCAAAGAGACCATAACTGCCACCCAAGCAGATATATACACACCCATGTTTATCGTGATTTTGTTCACAATATTATTCAAAATGGGTGACCCTAGAGGACATTATGCTGAGTGAAGTATCTCAGTCACAAAAGGACAAATACTGCAAGGTGCCACTGCTGTAAAATAGGACTGATCTTGGGGATGGTGGGAGACTGAGAAAGATGGGTTCAATAGTGTATAATGCACTGAAACAGATGAGGGAGAAAACTGTTTAAAAGGGACAGGTTACTAGGTATTTTTGTCATGACAGTTGTCCAGAACAAAGGCTGCTGCATAGTGGAACAATGAAAGAATTTTTCTTTTACTTTTCCAAGAGGGTAGTGTACTAGGGGCAAGGTTGGGAGGGGACAAAAGTGCAACAATGAATGAATGGAAATCCAAAGTCTCTGTAAATTTTCAATGAAATGAGTAACAAATTTTTTAAAAAAAGAAAGAAAGAAAAGGCAAGAGACAGGGCACATCCTTGATACACTCCCTACCTGATTTTGAACCATGAAACAAACAAACAAACAAAGGCTTGGTGATAAAAACAAGGCTGGAGATAAAAGATTTTTGTATAGTCAATAATTTATTAATAGCAAATACCTTTTGTTATTGTTGTGTTGATTGCCTTCTAGTTGAGCAGGACTCACAGCAACCCTATGAACAAAAGGCGCGAAGCCTTTCTATAACTATCGACATTTATCAAAGTTAATAGAGTTCCAAGAGGCATGTTCTTTAGGAAGTGGATGTCACTCTTGTTTCCAAACCTGTCTTAAACTGGGAGGTCCACCAAACACTGTTCACCATGGGTAACTGTTATGGCATTTGAAACCCCACATGCACAAAGTTCAGTATCACAACAATCCCAGGTTACCTCAGTATAGCATATTGACAGAAGAACGCTGTATCACTCAGAAGAACGTTCCTCCAAAATATAATAACAAGCTACTTTATATATAGTGGCTGTCCTTGAGGTCTTTTTGACTCTAAGCAAGAGGCTTAAATTTAAAAAAACAACCAATATAGTGAAATATCTTTTATAAGAAACATAAATAGTAACAATATACATAGACCTCACCAGATGGTCTGGAGAGATATGGAGCTGACTACATCTGTGGAAGGAATCACTGGAGAAGCTCAATATCACCTGTGACAACTAGATTTGGTGCTGATTTACTGATTGTGACACAGAGCAACTACTCATGTTCAAGTTCAAACTAAAGCTAAAGTAAACTAAAGCCATAACTGCCAACATTTCACGTTGAGTCTATCCCACCTGAATTAAAAAAAAAATCTCAGGCACAGATTTGAGGCCTTGAACACTAATGAGCAAGGCCAGATGAGCTGTGGGAGGATGACGAGAAGGAAACAGAGCATGGTTCAAAAGCAAGGAAGAAGCCCATCAGGGATGCATTGATAATTCTTCAACTGCCACCATTATTCGTTTTCCAGCTCTCAGATACATAGCTATTGTTATGTGCCATTGAACCAACTGCAACTCATAGTCACCTGATGTACAACAGCTGTGAACTCTACTTTTAGCTTTGCAATCTATATGCAGAACAGATTATTTGGGATGCTGGACTCTAGGAGGAGGAATGTGGTATCAAGTTGGAAGGAAGACTCATCAACAACCTGTATTTGGCAAACGGCACAATCTTGCTTGCTGAAATGGAGGAGAACCTGTTTGCTGCAGGTCAAAGACTTCAGTCTCCAACAAGGACTGATGCTCAACATCAAGAAAACAAAGATTCTTACTACTGGGCCAGCTGGCAGCACTATGATAGAGAGAAAGAGACTGAGATTGCTAACAGTTTCAGCTTACTCGGTTCCAAAATCAACACCCTTGGCACCAGGAATCAGGAAATCAAAAGACAAATTGCACTGGAGAAGTCTGCTGACAGAGATTGCTCCAGAGTGCTAAAAGAGCAACAATATCAGTCTAGAGACTAAGGTGCACCTAATCCAGGCCATGGTCTTCACAATTACATGCTATGTATCAGAAAGCTGGACAATAATTAAGGATGACAGAAGAAAAATCAGTGCTTTTGAGTTGTGATGCTAGGGAAAAGAACTGAACACACCATCGACTGCCAAAAGAACAGTCTGTTCTGGAGAGGGTGAAGCCAAGTTGCTCCATGGAGGCAAGGACTTTGAAGCTCCATCTTTTGTACTTGGGGCTTGTTGCAGCACAGTCCTGGAAGAACAACATCATGCTTGTAAGCATGAAGGAACAGCACAATAGAGGAAGACCCAGGATGAGATAGAGAGATATAGTAACTGAGATAATGGGATGAGGTGTGCTGGAGACAAGGAGACTGGCTGAGGATAGGACAGCTATTGTACACAGGGTCAATATGAATCGACAGTACATAACAACAACAACAACAACAACAACAACAACAGCTGTGCATTTGAGAGCTGGACAAAGAATAAGGATTATAGGAGAAGAATGAATGCCTTTGAGCTGTGATGTGGGAGAAAAGTGCTGAAAAGCTGATGACGGCCAAAAGAACAATCATGGAGAAAGTGACACAAGCGTACTCCTTAGAGGCAAGAATGGTGAAGCTTCACCTCACAAAATTTGGGCATGTTGTTTCAGCAGGCTATTCTTTGTAAAGAAACATCATGCTCGGAAAACTGGAGGATCAGTAAACGAGAAGAAAAAACTCAATGAGATGGACAGACACAGTGACTGTAGCAATGGGCTCCACTGTGTCAGAAATGAAGAGGTTGGCACAGGATAGGCCAGAGTTAAGATCTGTTGTTCAAAGGGGCACTATGAGTTGTATTAAACTAGATGGCACATGACAACAACAAATCTAGAGGCTCTCTGAAAGTCAGAATTCGCTAGTGTGCCCATGGGAGGAAGTTGGGAAATCTCCCCCCTGTAATTTTACAGCTCCCAGGAGTCTGATATAGGATACATACATACAAACACACTACACAGCTATAGTTTGCCACTGAGTCAGGTCATTCATAATGACCTTTGGCATTTGTGGTGTCTCAATCTTAGAATGTCATGAAAAGAACATTCATTCACAAACTAGCTAACAGGTGTTAATGAAAATATTTACATTTTCGGAATCTGGCTATAAAAAAGAAGAGTTGCTAATTACACAGTACACTTCTTTTCCATGCCTAAAATGGTGTTATGCTTCATGAAGATAACAGATGAGTAAACAGATTAATTTAAAATAAAATGAAACAAACAAAACACAGGGAAAATAAATTTGGGGCAAGGGAAGGAGTAAGGACTTATCAAACAATAAAACCAATTATAAACATGAGGCCCAAATTCTAAATGACGACTGGAAATCCACCTTCACCATTGTGAATCACTGTACTGTAAATGAGTAAATTACGAGTCAGTATGTTGTTGGGGTCAGACCGACCTGTTGTCACCAGTGATGCAGGCTGCACAAGTCCCCGTTGGCTGTTCATTCTGTTCATAGTAATGAGCATCCACATGGGCTTCCGCAGCTTTTCTCTTCAGGATCTCCCCAAATTTATCTACACCAATGCATCCAAAAAATGTTGCTGCTTTGTGCGGCTGTTGAATCATCCACTGAAAAATAAAAGCATAAATAAGTCAATGATTGAAAAAACGCTATAAAAACTTCAGTATTTTGCCATGGACAGTGGCATGAAAGGATACTGTGTGAGGAATGGAGTCTGTTATGAATGGAATTTCTACTCTATACTATTACTGAGAACAAACTGGTATTATAATGGCGAAGGAAATAGAGCAGACTGGTTACAAATACAGAATCTAAAGTCAACAAATGATGGGTGGGTCTAGGAAATGAACAGCAAGTCTCAATTAAGTATTATAGCACTGTGGTAAAGGGCCTTATATACAGGACTGCATGGATTCAAATGTTACCTGTCACTTTCTAGGTGTCTAAGAGAAAGTCACTTGATATCTCTTAGTTTCCTCATGTGTAAAAAATTACAAATACACTTCATAAGGCTGATGAGCATTAAATGAAAAAACTTTCATAACAAAGTTTAGCCCAGCACTCAAACCACAACAAACATACATTAACAATTTATTTATTGTGTCACTATCATTGTCATAATGGTAGCAATTCACATGTAAATTTAAAAATTCAAATTATAAAAAATTAATCTTCAGTAAAGTGAGTCACATGAATATTGATACTTCACAGATCTTGAACTTTCACTATTACATTCCAAAATTCCTTAAAAAAGCAAAAGCAAAAGCAAATTCTTGAGGGTTATAAGACTTTTTTTAGCTGTATTGCACTGGAGAAGTACTACAACACAAGGATGTCAAGTTAAAGACTAAGGTGCAGCTGACTCAAACCATAATAGTTCCAATTCTTTCATATGCATGTGGAAATTGGACAATGGATACAGAACACTGATGCCTCTGAATTACAGTGTTAACAAATGATATTTAATATACCATGGCCTGCCAAAAAAGCAAACAAATTTGTTTTGTTAGAGATGCAGTCAGAGTGCTGCTTGGAAATCAAGATCATTAAAGTTTCTTCTCACATACTTTAGGCATGTTATCAGGTGCGCTCAGGTGGCCTACCAGTAAGAAACTGTGCTGTAATCCCAAAGGAATGCAGTGTGAATCTTGCTCCATGAGAGCTGAATTCTGCTTCACAGGAGAATGACAGGCAATCTCCTCTCAATCTCCTGCAATTTACTGCTTCTGCAAGCCTACTGGAGGGTCAGCTTTGGGTTGGTTCTCACTCAGCAGCACACATCAAGAACTTTATCCAGAGGACTAGTTTCCACAAAAGGTCTACAAAAAAATCATTATTTACTACTAATGAACATGTCTCATTCTATATTTTTTTGGTTATTGTTTCTGCCTCAAAAAACTAGTTTGTGAAGTAGTTTCAGGTCTGGAGTAGGGAAGAGATGGTGAGTGCGGCACATCTTAAGTGCTCAAAGGTTAATGAAAGCATGCAGCAAAACCCTAAAACTAAATAAGCCAGGAGTCACTTTAGGCAATTGGGAATAATTTGAACACCATAAGAGAATTTATTGGAACTTAGTGGTAAGGACTAGTGCTACCAATTCAAAGGTACATAGATTAAATCCACTAGTTGCTCTGTGGAAGAAAGGGCAATATCCTCATGTGGGATTTACTGCCACAGAAAATCCACTGGAGCATCAACTATGAGGTGGCAACCACTAAATCACCAGATTAATCTTTGCTGTGTCTTTCGTCTTCTCTTACAGTACCTTCTTTATAGTCAAATAATAAGGGGCAATAACTGAGAAAACTGCAACAGATAAGCTATTTTTAAAACTTTCATTACTCACCACAAGAAGATAAAGGTAAATAATCCAATAGAAAAATGGGCACAGGATATGAACAGACACTTGACCAAAGACGACATTCAAATGGCTAACAAGCACATGAAGAACTGTTCAAAATCCTTAGCTCTCAGAGAGATGAAAATTAAAACAGCTATGAGATATCATCTCACCCCAGTCAGAATAGCAAAATTTAACAGAACAGCAAGCAACAAATGCTGGCGAGCTTGTGGAGAGACTGGAACCCTTATTTACTGTTGGTGGGAGTGTAAAATGGTGCAACCATTGTGGAAGGTGGTATGGCGCTTTCTCAAAAAGGTGCAAATAGAGATACCATTTGATCCAGCAATTCCACTACTGGGAATATACCCCAAAGAGACCATAACTGACATCCAAGCAGATATATGCACACCCATGCGGCTTTGTTCACAATAGCAAGGAGTTGGAAACAACCTAATTGCCTATCAACAAACGAATGGATACAGAAGACAGGGTATATTCACACAATGGAATACTATGCTGCATTGAAAAACAAGGAACGCATGCAATATTATTCAAAATGGGTGACCCTGGAGGACATTATGCTGAGAGAAGTATCTCGGTCACAAAAGGACAAATACTGCATGGTGCCACTGTTGTAAAACAGGACTGACCTGGGGGTTGGGGCGAGACTGAGAAAGATGGGTTCGATAATGTATACTGCATTGAAACAGATGATGGAGAAAACTGTTTAAAAGGGATATGTGAGTAGGTATTTTTGTAATGACAGGAGTACAGAGCGAAGGCTGCATAGTGGAGTGGACCTGGGGGGAGGGATTGTAAAACAAAGAAAGAATTTTACTTTTACTTTTCCAAGAGGGTAATGTACTAGAGGGGAGGGTTCAGAGGGGAGAAAAATGTAACAATGAGTGAATGGAAATCCAAAGTCTCTGTAAATTTTCATAGAAATTAATAAATTAAAAAAACCAACTGTCATTACTTTGCTAAATCCTGTTAAATTTTTAGTAAATCTATGTTAATCTCAAAATCAAGAATAGGTCACCAACACTTAGCCAATATGTTTCCTACCATTTTAATAGTCAATCCTTAAACAGTTAATGTAAGTTTAATATGAACTAAAAATGTAAAAATTATAATTCTACTTAGACAAAGTCCCCATAACTATAATCCAGATCCCCCAGGAAAAATGTATAACATTCTATTAAGCTGTTTTTCAAACTAATCTTTTCTGATTTCTCTTTACATCAATATGTAAAATTTTATCTTTCAATTATTTTCTAGCTATGTGAAATGAGGAAGGTCCAGAATTACATTCATTTTGTAAACAACTGAAAAATGAACCAAAAGGAAAAAAGTACTTTTCATCATCAGAGTTTAGAGACCTGTGTTAGGTGCCATTGAGTTAAATGACTCTCAGTGACTCTATGAAAAATAGATCTGAACCCTGTCCTGTCCTGTGCCATTCTCATACTTTCTGACACATGAGCTTACTGCAGTTGTCGCTGTGTAAATCAATCCAGTTGAGGGTCGTCTTCTCCTTTGCCAACCCTCCACATTTCCAAGGCTGATGTCCTTCTCCAAGGAAAAGCCCCTCCTAGCAACATGCCCGAAGTACGTGAGCTGAAGTATCATCATCTTTGCGTCCAAGGAACACACAGCTCAAAGGCATCAACTCTTCTTTGGTCATCCTTATTCACTGACTAGCTCTCAGATGCTAAGCAAGTTATCATGGCCTGAATTAGAAGCACACTAACACCATATTTCCTCAATAATTTGAAGAGGTCTTTGACTACAGACTTTCCAAGTGCAATTTTTTTGTTGTTATGTGCCATTGAGTCACCTGTGACTCAAAGAGACCTTATGTGCAAAAGCTGTGAAGCCTGCCCTGTCCTGAGCCAGTCTCACTGACTCCGACACAACTACCCTCATTATCTTAGTTACTGTATCAATCCATCTCATTCAGGATCTTCCCCTTCGATGCTTTCCCTCCAACTTTCCAAGCATGATGTCCTTCCCCAAGGATTAGTCTCTCCTGGCCACATGCCTAAAGTATGTGAGATGGAGTGTCAAAATCCTAGCCTCCAAGGAGAAACTTAGTTTCAGCCTCTTCAAGGCCGACCTATTTCTTTTCTTGACAGCCTACGGAATGTTCAAAACTCTTCCCCAGTACAACTCAAAGGTTTCAATTCCTCTGTCATTCTTTATAACTGATAAAAACTTCAATCTCTTCTCCATTCATGCTGCCAATTGGCCCATTGTTGAGAATCTCTGCCTTCTTAATGTTGAGCTTCAATCCATATTGCAAGAGCTTCAAGTAATCCTCACTTTCAGCAAGCAAGGCTGTGTCATCTAAATAACGTAGGTTGTTGATGAGTCTTGCTCCAATCTTGAAGTCACATTCCTTCCCATAAAGCAGCCTCACAAATGATCTGTTCTGCATATAAATTGAAAAGGTATGGAGATGGGATGATTCCCTGATACACTCCCTTCCTGATTTTGAACCATGCAGTCTTACTTTGTTCTGTTCTGAGGACTGTTTCCTGGTCCAATATGTCTCCTGATTTCCTGCCTACTGGTACCAAGGGTGTTGACTGTGGATCCAAGTAAGCAGAAATCAATGATAATGTCAATATTTTCTTCATACATGATGATGTTGCCTATTGATCCAGTGGTAAGAATTTTTGTTTTCTTGACGTTGAGATGCCATCTATATTTATTTAAGGTTGTATTCTTTTATCTTCTGCAGGGAATCTTCCTTTCAACAAGCGAGGTTGTGTCATCTACACAACATGAGTTACTGATGATTCTTCTTCTAATCTTGAAGCCACATTCTTCTTAATGGAATCCAGCTTATCAAATAATTTGCTCAGCATACAGGCTGAATACAAAGAGAGGATACAACCCTGATGCACTCCTTTCTTAATTGTAAACCATGTAGTGTTCCCTTGCTTTGTTCGAACAAGTTTCTTGGTCTAGATACAGGTTTTTCACGAGCACATTTCTAGGATTTTCATTTATCTCAATGTTTGCCATAATTTATTATGATCCACATGGTCAAATGCCTTTGCACAGTCAAAAAGCATAAACAGACACCCTTCTGGTACTCATTACCTTCAGCCGGGACCCATCTAACATTGGCAATGATACCCCTAGTGCCATGGACTCATCTAAATCCTGCTTGAACTTCTGGAAGTTCCTTATCTATGTACTGTTCTAGTCATTCTTGAATAATTTTCAGCAGCATTTTACTTATACATAATATTAATG